ACCTTTTGGTCTGCTATGTAAATGTATAATAAACACAAAACAAGGTCACAACACAGAAGCTTCCTAAAAGTTCATAACTATCTATGTTCACTTGGTTCATTTTTCATGTGAAACAAACCTGAGATGGGAATGAAAGAGATGTTTTTAGTTTTTCTCTACAAAAACTTTTTCAACAAAACAAAACACAACATAACTGTACAACATCCATTTTTGCCACCTTTGTCAATTTATTATGACAAAATCAAGTGGAAATTTCTCTTTTCTAAAAAAAATGGAAAAACCAACAAAAAGCCAACAATAACAACCTTGATGAATTGGTGTGTGTGTGTGTGTGTGTTTATAATATGCAAAAACAATTTAAGCAGAAAATATCAGTTCCTGCATATACATTTGAAGGACTTCAGAAGTCTAAATCTTCAAGTATAAATCTTGTTTCAGTGTTCACATAATATACAGTCAATCTCAGAAAGTTTTACTTCCATTATATATAGAATTCCCTTTTCCAAACCAACAGAGAGAGACCCCGTCTTGGTCTAATGCTATGGAAAGTTATAAAATTAGTACTTTGGCCAAAACAAGCATAAATTGCAGCAATGTGTTACTTGTACATTTGCATAACGCGTACCATTTGTATTAAACAAGTCTTAATGAAACAGTAATTTCATTTATGCTGTAATGAAACCATGTATTGAATTCATATAATTACATTATATCCAGCATTCCTATTTCAGCTTTCATATTTCTTAATATTCAATTAACAGGTTTAACAAAAAAGACACACATACATATACCGGGAGGGAGAGACAGAGACAGACAGACAGACAGAAAGACATTTCAGTCTGAATCAATACTCTACAAAAAGAATTCTGCTTCCATAAAGATCTAATTAACCATACTGGTCCAATACAGATTTCTTGCTTGCTTGCTTGCTTTCTTTCTTCCTTCCTTCCTTCCTTCCTTCCTTCCTTCCTTCCTTCCTTCCTTCCTTCCTTCTTTCTTTCTTTCTTTCTTTCTCTTTCTCCCTCTCTCCCTGTCTCTTCTTTCTTTCTTCCTTCCTTCCTTCCTTCCTTTCTTCCCCTATGACTAGTTTGGCCTTCTTTCTTTCTTTCTTTCTTTCTTTCTTTCTTTCTTTCTTTCTTTCTTTCTTTCTTTCTTTCTTTCTTTCTTTCTTTCTTTCTCTCTCTCTCCTTCCTTTCTTTCTTCCTTCCTTCCTTTCTTCCTTCCTTCCTTCCCCCCCCCTCTCTTCCCCTATGACTAGTTTAGCCTGCCTGCCTGTCTCCCTTCCTATTGGCTGAAGGCATTCTTCTGAGAATACTTCATAGCTAGACAAACATTATTGCTTCTTGAGTCATATTTACAATTTTACAGTTTCATGTTTGATTCTTCTTCTTACTCCCTATCCTGTAAAACTAATTTGCTTTGCCTGATAGAGTTTTAAATCAGAACCTCAGCATTTCAGTATTATTGCTATTCTACAAAGAAGAATGGAAGTTTATAAAGCGAGGGTTTTTTCTACATTTTTCATTTAACATATTGCATTTGCTAGATTGTTTGGCAATACCAGTGATTAAATATCTAGAGATAAAATGTAACTATATTATCTAGATACAAATTCACACATATACATGCAAACAGATTGAACTATCTGCTTTGTTAAAACTGTTAGCTTTTCCATTGGTTGTCTTACCTATTGCATAATATCTATACTGTATCAAGATATTATTGTAAGATAAAACCTATACATTGTGTATAAGACAAATAATTATCCATAGTATAAATTTGATTATAGAATAGATGTACATCCATCTACTTCTATATCCTTAGGGCAGGGGTAGGCAACCTTGGCTCTTTTATGACTCTTGGACTTCAACTCCCAGAATTCCTGAGCCAGCAGGAATTCTGGGAGTTGAAGTCCACGAGTCACAAAAGAGCCAAGGTTGCCTACCCCTGCCTTAGGGTAAGGAAAAATAACTGACATGGGCAATCTACTATGTAACTCCAGGAATGTTTAGTTCAACACAGAAAAGAAAGAAACTGGCTAAATCTTTCTGAACCAACTTCCAGGCCAATTTTCTAATCATCACATATTTGCTCTCATGTCTGAAAGAGAAATCTTCCACATGGAGAGAAAGTAACTGTTAGGGGTTTGAGGGTTGTGGTGAGGGTCCATTCATTATCGAAGAGAAGATGCAACATTTTGAAGTTCCCCTGTGGCTTCTTTGGGAGACAGCAGATATACTCAGCATATATCTCTGTGGAAAATCATAAAACTGTGTCTCACTTAGTTTGGCCATGTCATGCAGGGAATTTCACTGGAGAATGCAAGTATGTTTGGAAGAGTTAGGATGTAAAAGGAAACCAGGCTACCAAATAACATGGTGACTGGACATCAAACCTGAAACCAGCCAGAATACAAAAAAACTCAAAGAAGTAGTGGAAGATTGGAAGATGTGGAGAAACCTGGCCCATAGACTTGCCATGAATCGGACTGAATGGATAACATCATCATCATATCTCTGTACATCAGCACTGGCTCAAAGAAACCATACTGCTAAATTTTGACCAGAAAATTGATGGTTCATGAGTTGCCTCCTTGAAGAAGCCACTAGTTCTTTTAGACAGGACACAGAAGAAATCAGAAAATGAGGAGAGAAAAAAAATATCTCCAGACATTTGACATGTCTTTCTTCCCCCCCCCCTTTAATGGACTTTTGTCTTCCCACCGGCAATATGACCATTAATTCCTGCTTGCCACATTTCCCGAAGTTCAAATTAAAATATAAATATTGCATGTCCACCTGACTGAATAGCTTTTGTTAAAGCTAAAACAAAACAATTGGAAGTAAACACAAAGTTAAATGGAGCTTATGTGCCCACGTAATTGCAGTCGCAAGCTGAAATATTAATTTCAACATTTTATTTATTTTTCCTTTAGTTTTGAAGCGTCTGCAGTAGTTCAATAAATATGTTAGTTCTTTGTAGGAAAGAAGAGAAAAGCGGAAGGACACATTTAGAATATTAGTATTGACCATGGACTCTCTTGGAGAGATGGTTGTACGAATGATTAGTATAAACATTTGGCCTTAAAAATTTATCAGTAGGGCACTGATTAACCTATTTTTTCAAGGATCAATATTAATGTGTATAGATGTATCAGTCTGAGTTTTGAAGTTATTCTGTGCAATGTTTTTTTTTAAGTTATCCAATGCCTTAGTAATGAGGAATAATATTTTAAATGTATGATCACAATCCAGAATTGGGTCCTAGGAAATAATAGACATTCTTCTGGCTTCAGCCTCACAAGAGTAATACAAGAAACAAATTTTAGTGCTTTTAAGCCCAGCAGTATTTTAAAAACCATGGAGGAGGCATGAAATGGTCTTTATTGATCAACAGGATGAAATAATACAGAAAAGGGGGGGAATCAAGCTGACGACTAGAATATTGCAATCAAAGATCTGCCTGTTTTTTTTTTTTTTTTTATGTGTCATCATCTTGCTTTTTGGATTGCACCCTGAGGACAGTCTGCAATAATGCATTCCTATTTACAATCTGTTCCTTAACCACCAAGCTATATTAATCATAACTAGAACTTCAATTGTTTTTCATTTTAAATAATCGTCCTTCCTAAAAAGCACAACTTTAAAGTTAAACTAAATACAGAATTATCTATTTTTATAGATGGGGGAGTAAATAATGAGTGGAGTGGCATGGAGTGGAGTGGAATAGAATGGAATAGAATAGAATTCTTTATTGGCCAAGTGTGATTGGACACACCAGGAATTTGTCTCCAGTGCATAAGCTCACAGTGCACATATAAACAGCAAATGATAGGTCATAGATCATAAATCATAGTTATAATCATTAACCAGTATATATATCCTCTTGTTTTCCTAATAGCAGTGAAATGTAATGCTACTTTCTCCCTATTAATATTGATAAAGATAGCTCTAGTTTGGAGGCAACATTATGAAAAACTACGGATACCAAATAAACAACTTTGGGATAATCTATACAAATACAGTAGTGGCCAAAATTGTGGAAACCTTTTGGGAAAAGTATATTTTTGAGGTTTGATGGCTAATAACACCACTTTTTTGGGAGGGAGTAATACTATAAAATTATATATCAATGGAAAGATAATTTAATCAAGAACGTAATGCAACATAGTTTATTCAATTATCCGTACTATATTCTGTGAAAAGGTATAGCCAAATAACCAGAAAAAGGAAGTACAACTTGCTTAGGTTGATATCAGGTAGCTTTCCTTCATCTGATTGTAGTCAATGAGCATGAGTGTTTAGAGAGCCAATTAGGTGTCATCTTGTTTTGGCAATGAGCCAATCAGATCACAGTAGGATTCAGTTATTGAAGCTGAGAGGAGGACATTTGTCAGTGTGTTATGTGATCGCTATCAAGTTGTTTGGGGTTTTTTTTCTCTTTCATTCAGTGAGCTTGTAAAACATAATAAAATTAAAGTAATGGTGCAAAGAGTTGACTGGTTACCCAGTAAGCGATGTAAACTACTATTATTAAGTGAACAAGGCTACAGTTATAAAGAAATTAGAAGAAAAAAAGGTGGAAACTTAACCAAAGGTGGCATTTCTACTGTACATTTTTCCCAAACGGTTTCCACAATTTTGGCCACTACTGTAATTCATCGATCTTACTCTAATATTATTTTGCTTTATTACACCTAGAATGGAATAGGCGTACACATTAAGTGAAAAGTTATCTAGTATCTGGACAAACTAAGCATGAATCCAAGAATCCTTAGAAGAGCAGAATGAGATTGCCTGTACATTTCAGAAGTGAAATTTACAAGTGTAAATTGTAAATGTACACCCTACAAGTGTGGTGTGATACTTTTGCCCTCCATTAATCCAGATGATAAACACTGCTCATGTTATTAATGTACTCATCTCCTATTGTTGTTAAAGAAAGATGAACACGGGGATCAGGTCCATTCCTGAAAACAGAATTCAGTGCACAAGCCTTACCTGTATATGCGAACTGAACGAGATCCCAAAGTGCACCAGGATCAATGCCTTCCATTTTGATTTCTTCTTGCTTAGCTTCACAAACATCATTCGTAAACATGGCAGCAAAGTAATCCGAAACTGAGCTGAGTACAAGCCTGGGGCAATGTGAGGAGAGAGAAGGGCAGAGATGGAGAAAGAGAAGGAACATATCTGTTATCTTACTGTATTTCCGTGCAGTCTACTTCTGAAAATGTTCAACCAGCAACAAGGGTGGTAAATGCTCAAAAGTCATGGAAACGCCAACTTTATAAACATTTGTTTGGAAACAGGTTCTGCTGAATCACATTCTCTTCCAAATAAAAGTATAGTAGAGCACTCTTACTCTGCTGGCATTTAATACAACTCAGTAAATGAATTCAACAAAAAAAATGTGCATTGAAGCATCAAATAAGTAGCCAAATATTTATTTTGATGAAGGTGGCTTTTGGAAAATAAATAAATAAATGAGGTCACCTATTTATGCACCTGATAGGAAGAGAATTTTCTTCTCTTCTGCTTCTTCTGTCCTTCAGTACTGTAGTGTCATTTGGTCTACTTCTTCCTGTTCTTAAATCCAACTCCATTTATATGTTTCTTTCATCCATGTCTAATTGCTTAAATTAAATTCCTTGGTGGTATTTCTCTATTGGATAGATCTGGCCAGATATGATGGCCTTCAAGGATTTGATGATAGATGGTGGACGGTTGGCATTCTCCACACAGAATCCAAGTAGAACTATGTGGTTTTGTAGGTAAGAGGGAATCTTATACATGTCCATTGAGTATTTTCATGAACATCTTTTTACATGATATAAAAAACAGTTTCCTGGATATGAGCAGGATATCAAACCCTTTGTAAGAATTGTGTGCTGCTTTTCAGCCACAGAAGCAACCAAGCTAGCTTACAAAATTAACCGTATGATAAAATTACACCATCTTCATTAATGAAGCAACACTAACAGCAAATGAATAAAGCAGAAGAACCATGAGTAAGATACACATTCCAAACAGAGCAAAATTAAACTCTTTGAAGAGATAGATTATAATGATAAAAAATGTCTGTTGAAAAAGAAGGTTTTGTCTATATGTATAAAGCTAAAAGTTAGGAAATCAAGAAAGTCAATTTCTACCACCTTGATACTACTACTCCATTCTTCCCCAGTTCTACTTTGAAAAATAAAAAACACAGCTGTCATGGGCAAAAATAAAAAGTAGCCTGAGTGCTTTTCTCTACAAAATATACTCAACCATTAAGGATGTTCCTGGCTAGTGAAAAAAAAATATCTAAAAACCACTTTCATTATGATCAATAATGGAATCAATCCCAATGGAAAAACTCTCCACATTTTTCTTTGCATTCTGATCACGCCTCTTATGCGATAGACTTGAAAGCAGGTAAATGCCTAAACTTTTTGAAATATGTATTTTATAACTTTATCTCTTTTTATTTTTAACAAGTAAAGCTGCAATTGACAGGCAGTATTACTTTTTCATCTGTGCATTGTTCTCTCTCTTTTTCAATTATTTAACCAAATAGTGCCTGGTAATTAATTTCATTCAGGAAATCTTCCTGAAATCATCATGTGCTATTGATTTCTGAACTTCCAACGACTGGGGGGAGTGGTAACTTTTGGTTGAGATGCCTACTCACTGGGAAAGATCAATTATATTTAAGATATCATTTTTTCTCCCTCTAATTACTGCTACTTCACAACAATAAATTCTACAAGAAATAAACTCATGAACCCTGTTTCTCTCCTGGATTGTTGCATAATATGTGGACTCCAAAGCTTTTGACTCCAAAATTAATTGGATATAAATACAAACCATTTTAATATTTCCAGAATACATTTAATTAAACCTTCTGCTTCCACGTATTCTCCTTGATTAGTTCCCAAGCTTCTGCCCAAATTGGAACAATATGAAAATCACAAATTGTTCTTACACTCAGAATATTTAATGCATCATTTGGCTTTATCAGTGATAACAGTTAAATAATGGCCCTGTTTTCTTACATTCTGCAAGATATCAGCAAGCTAATCCTTAAGAGTAAATGTACATGTTGTGACATGAATAATATATGAATTTTCTTGTCTAGGAAATTCTCAGTCATCCAGGTCATCCTTGTTCTAAAGGTGCTTTTTCAAGAGACAATTGGACTTCCTTTTTTTCTTTGAAAACGTTTCACTTCTGACTGGATGGTGGGGAATGGAAGGATTTATACTTCTTGCAGACAGCCGGTCATTTGCATTCTTTTAGAGAGTTGTTGAGGCTACCTGGAGGTTGATCTGTGTCTTCAGGGTCACCTAAGTAGTGCAAATAGGTGTGGAGCCTTCTTGGAAGTGCTGAAAGGATTGTGTTCTGATCTCATCATTTCTAAATCCGGCTGATATTTAAGAAATATTGGTGCTGTAAATGGGTTTCATCTTCTAAACTTGCTCTAGTACAGGGGCATCAAACTTGTTGAGGTAGATGAAAAATTGCCATTAAGAGAAATGATAAAGTACTTTTGAATTATATTTTAATTAACAGAGGTGATGTTTTGAAAGCATTAACTAATACTATAAACTGGCTGAGTGTGATGACCTGTGTGCAATTCTATGAAGAAACATTTTTACAAGAAGTGCCAACCGAAAGTCACAAATGGTGTAAGATATTACACGTGTAGGGGAGTGTGGTTCTCTGCACATTGTATAAACTTCCCTTTTTCCTATGCGTGCGGTCTCAAGATATGAACTTCTCTCTTTTAGTGTGTTAAAGGTAGATAAGAAGTCATCCATTAGGTTAAGCATGGGTGGCAAGCTGTATAAAAATGACACCCTGGGAGTAACTCAGGGTTCAGAATCTGTCATGCTAATGCTCTGAACCATTGTGCACAAATAAACCTGTTTTCTCCGACCCTTCGTGGTCTTGTCTTCTGATGTAAGTATCGTGGTTTTTCCACACCAATGTGATGTGTTTCAACCTATCGTGACTTTTTCCCCCTTGCCAGAGGTGGGGTGGGTGTGGCTTCTGCATGACGTATCCAGCCCATGGGCTGGCAATTTGACACCCCTGCTCTAGTAGATCAGGAACAGAAAGCAGGTGGCAAGAATGGATGTCTCTCCCCCTTCAAAAAAAAACCCTGGTTATTACAGGTGGGGGCTGAGCAAAGATAAAATTCACAGGACCCTGGGGAACCTCTGCTGAGACCTTCATATATCATTAAATGTCTTTTTCACTTGCACCACCTAAGCATTTATCTTATGCATGATATGGAAATGTGAGTGTATTATATACTACAGGGTCCCCAACCCCCAGGCTGTGGCCCATTCATGGGCCACGGCCTACTTGGAATATGTGCAATTCCACTCACACAAGCAGTACCCCAAAAGCTTTTCTTATCTCTTGCGTGAGTGGAGCTGCATGCACATGTGCGCACTCTGCCCCCCACCCCAGCTGGGCCACCAAGCCACCTGCTCCTGATGCTCCAAAAGTGGAACAGGGAGAGTAGAGGCTGAGTGGGACACGCATGCCCTGTTCAGCTTCGCTAATTCTGCCTGGGCAGGACACCCGATCCACTTGCGGAGCAGTGAGTCTGAAGGAGCACAAGACTCACATCCCAAAGGCTTCTCTTCTCTGTGCTAAAAGCTTTTGCAAATGGATGGAAAGCTTCAGGGGAGCGATCTCACACTGCTTCAGGCCTTCAGTCCCTTTGGAAAAGTTTTTGGCCCAGAGAAGGAGCGTAAAACCACACCACAAAAAGCTTCTCTAGTCTCTTGTGTGAGTGGAGTTCTGCACGTGCGTTCATTCACACAGCCCAGTTCCCATGTCCTCTCTGCCCCCCACCCCAGCGGGGCAGTCAAGCTGCAAAGGTTGGGGAACCACTGATATCCTATATGTGTGTCAGCTATTCTAAAAGGAAAACATGCTTTCAGATAGCCTGGAAATCTGAAACAGACTATCAATACGTTTGCATCTTTAACCGTGAAGATAAACTGTGATTCAGATTTATTTCAGAGGCAAGCTTATGACCCTTATCATTTATTGCTCCAAAAAGTTCTGATTGCTACTGAACTGAAATAGCTGTTAAATCAAGTTCAGTCAAGATACAGATGAAAATCAATCTTCCCATTAAATACCAACTTTGCACTAGAGGGACAGAATTTGCATTTTTCATATAGAACACATTTGGCAAAATAAGTACTTTATTACAATGTTTTTTGATGCAGTTTAAACTGGCCTCAAATATGTGCAGTCTTCAAAAGAAAAACTATAAAGAGCTACATAAGTTCTATTACATGGTTTAAATCTTTCGCTCTCCAATGTATATTTTAGCTAGAATCTTTTCCTCTAATCAAATAAACTTCTTGTTGTGTTTATATTGGACCACTAATAAACATTTAATCTTCGTTACAAAAACACAAATCTTTAAATAAAATGTTAAGGTAGGAATTAAAACCATCATATCAAAACCATCAAATGTTAAGGTAGGAATTAAAACCATCACTCTTCATAACCGTAAGCTTACACCATTACATATTTATCTTGTTAAGAGGAAACTCTTCTTGAAGAATTGAACATGTTTTTTTTTTTTTTAAATAATAATAAGAATGACATACTTTCAAGAAAGAGGTGCAATTGCAGCTGGTATTTTGATTGCTTTTTCACTCCTGCCTAACAAATGGTTCTTATAACTCCTTTAATACATACCTGTGTGCAGGTATCTTACGGTTCCCAGCAATTAAAATAACATCACAAAGCTGCTGTTGCTTCAGGTAGCTTTCCATCTTTCTGAAGGTCTGCTCAGCATGGTGAACAGCTTGGTAGAATTCTTCAGAAGTACTAAGATCCATATCGCACTGAGGAGTCAATGGATGATTGGCTGCTGACAGCCTATAAATCACAAACACAGGAAGGAAGGAAGGAAGGAAGGAAGGAAGGAAGGAAGGAAGGAAGGAAGGAAGGAAGGAAGGAAGGAAGGAAGGAAGGAAGGAAGGAAGGGGAAGGAAGGAAGGAAGGAAGGAAGGAAGGAAGGAAGGAAGGAAGGAAGGAAGGAAGGAAGGAAGGAAGGGGAAGGGGGGAAAAGGAAGGAAGGAAGGAAGGAGGAAGGAAGGAAGGAAGGAAGGGAAGGAAGGAAGGAAGGGAAGGAAGGAAGGAAGGAAGGAAGGAAGGAAGGAAGGAAGGGAAGGAAGGAAGGTAGGAAGGAAGGAAGGAAGGAAGGAAGGAAGGAAGGAAGGAAGGAAGGAAGGAAGGAAGGAAGGAAGGAAGGGGAAGGGAGGGAAGGAAGGAAGGAAGGAAGGAAGGAAGGAAGGAAGGAAGGAAGGAAGGAAGGAAGGAAGGAAGGAAGGGGAAGGGAAGGAAGGAAGGAAATGATGAATAGCTTTTCCAGAAGTTAATCAAAAGCATTTCAAAGCTGATAAGAAAATAATTCAATTTGCCTCTCCTGCCTTCATTAGAATTGTAATAGAAGTCTCTTAGTTATCTAAATTAGGTACAAAATCAGTATGCCATTACTAAGAAATGTATCTTCATTATTACACAGAAAAAAAGCAGAAAAATTAAGCATGGCTAGTTGATTCATTTTATTTCCTATATCACTGGTATTCTAGTTGTTATTCAGTTATACTTTGTTAATTTTTGTTTAAAAAAAGACTTAATAGTATACAACCATATCTCTTTCCTAACCAAGCAGACAATAAAACACCAGGAGACTTTTTCCTGATATTCGGCTCTTGCATTTTTTCTCACAATAAACTCCCTTAGGACATCATTGATTCACTTAATAACTGTAGCATTCACTTAATGACAGTCACAAAAAAGATCATAAAATTGGGTTAGTCCATTAGAAGCCTCAACTTACAACAATCATCATCATCATCATCATCATCATCATCTTGGAAGGGACCTTGGAGGTCATCTAGTCCAACCCCCTGCTCAGGCAGGAAACCCTATACCATTTCAGAAAAATGCCTATCCAGTCTCTTCTTAAAAACTTCCAGTGTTGGAGCATTCACAGCTTCTGGAGGCAGGTTGTTCCACTGGTTAATTGTTCTCACTGTCAGGAAATTTCTAGGTTGCTTCTCTCTTTGATTAGTTCCCATCTGTCGCTTCTTGTCCTGCCTTCAGGTGCTTTGGGGAATAGCTTGACTCCCTCTTCTTTGTGGCAGCCCCTGAGACATTGGAATGCTGCTATTATGTCCCCCCTCGTCCTTCTCTTCATACCCAATTCCAGCAACCGTTCCTTATATGTTTTAGCCTCCAGTCCCCTGATCATCTTTGTTGCTCTTCTCTGCACTCTTTCTAGAGTCTCAACATCTTTTTACTCACAGTGGAAATTCCAGGTTCCATTATAGTCATGAGCCAAAGAACTGTACCTCTCTAAGAAACTGTTTATGGCAAGGATCTTCAAACATGGCCCTTTTATGAGTTATGGACTTCAACTCCCAGAATTACTCAGCCACCATGCCTGGCTGAGGAATTCTGGGAGTTGAAGTCCACAAGTCATAAAAGGGCCAAGTTTGAAGACCCCTGGTTTATGGGGTTAGTCTATGCAAGGGCCAACTCTGATCAACCAAACTAATTGGTCAATGGGATGGGAATGGTCAATGAAAAGCATTGAGAATCCATAAAATTACAGATAGCAACCAATTTTGGATCATTTCTCATTGTCACCTGAAATACATCACTATTCAGAATACAGATGGATGGGTGAGTGGATGAAAGAAGACATAATCTTTACAATCTTTTATACAGCTGATTATTAAAAAATTGCATTTATTTATTTCTCTGAACAATCGGCCTTATTGTTAAATATCTTTTGATTCAGAGGTGAAGGTAAAATATGGCTGAACTTGCTTATTTTGGAAAAAGTAACAAGTTTTCTGGGCAACTAGATGATTTCTAATTGGAGGGTGAAAGAAATGGAAATGCCATTAGAATTTGATCTTTATTGGATAGCAATGGATAAAATAATGTTTGTCTCCAAGTATGGTTTAATTTAAACAGGATTAAAATTAGAAAATTTTTGCAAGCAGCTCGGTGAGTGCTTTATTTTGTTTTCTTTTTTATTGTGAGGTTTTTTTTCCCCCAAAATATAGTTTGATATCTTCTGGCGATAAGACACCTGTCCTAGAAAGATGTGGACAACTATTTTTTATTTCTTCTGAATTCTTTTTTCTTTCTTTTTCTTTTACATTTTGGTCATATGGTAGGCCAGAACCTACCAAAACTGTATTGACAGTTACCGTATTTTCCGGTGTATAAGACGACTTTCTAAACCCTGAAAATCTCAAAAGTCAGGGGTCGTCTTATACGCAGGAATATACGGTAGCTGTTCTCTAAATTTAAAACCAATCTGCCCCCTAGTGGCCAGCCCTATTTTTTTTTTTTACAGAAATAAGCACTAACAGGACAAAGCTTTCTAGCAGCAAAGGAGCTCCTATTGTGCTCATCTATAAACAGAAATTCAATATTGTACTGTGTTTTCTGGTGTATAAGATGACTTTCTAAACCCTGAAAATCTTCTCAAAAGTTGGGGGTCGTCTTATACGCCCAGTCGCCTAATACGCCGGAATATACGGTAGTCAGAAAATAATAAAACATTGATTTTATTCACTTTTCAGAACCCTCCAATGTACTGTTCAGGAAATTATATCCAATTTTTACCCAATTTGTCTACTGTAACATAATTTATTCATACTGTCGAATACTGTTGTGCTTCTCTTAATTTATAGAGGAGAAGGAGGGGGGAGGGGGAGAAAGGAGAGGAGGAGGAAGAGGGAGGAGAGGAGAGGAGAGGAGAGGAGAGGAGAGGAAAGGAAAGGAAAGGATTTACCTATATACATAATTCTTAAAAAAAAAAAAACCCAAAAAAACCCAGACCATAAAAACACAAGCACAAACACAATGCTGCTTGGTGAGCTGCCAAGTAGGAGATTATTAGACGCAAAGTGAAGTCAACTCTCCTTTAAATATTTGATCAGCTGTTGTGCAAATAGCCCCAACTCCATGGTGTCTTGCCTGGCTGCAAAGAATATTTTCGGAAGTGAAAAACTCAAACTGTGAGACACCAGTGACAAGATGAATTAGGATTCTATGTGAAGCATCTAGTCTTTTGAAAACCACACATATAAAATCTCACCCTAAATGCCAACTCCGTTTTTCAGGACCCTTTGATGGATTTTTTTAAATATCTGGACCTTCTTTGATATTAAATAAATAATGATAATGAAAATACTTTGGTTAAAAAAAATCCTTTTTAGATTTAGAATGAAGGGATTGGTATTTTCCCTTTTCAGCAAGCTTTTACCCATAGAAAGCTGTCCAACTGATTTTTTTTTTTATTTTGTTTAGGATATTTCTAGTGACAAGCTATACTTGTAGTGTGAAGTGATTTAAGTTTCGATTAGCAAATTCATTATGCTCTTCTTTTCCTCTCTTCCTTCCTTCATTATTTGTTATCTTCTATCCAAAATGCATCCGGGTTTGAAGTACTAAACCTAATCAATTACCTATTGGATCATGCTTACACCAGCTACTATAAAGTACACAGTTCAGTTTAATACTATGAATTTGAGAGAGGAGACTTGTTGAAATATTATGAAATTTACAAATTCAGTACCTCATCTTTCTCTTATTCATAGAAAGAAATACGGAGGATATTTTGGATTTAAAAAAATGTTCTCTAGTCTTGAAAAAAATATGGCAGCCATATGACATAAACCAAGGGTGTCAAACTACTGGCCCATGGGCCGGATGCGTCAGGCCAAAACCATGCCCACCTCATTGCCGTAATGGAGAAAAAGTCGCAATACATCGTGACACATCACGTGACATTGCGGGTTTGACAACCCTGACATAAACAGTAAAAGACTATTGTAAGAATACAAAAAGAAACTCATGAAATCTTTCCTCCACACTGTTCCACACAGATCCTCCCTTAACAACTTTGTTGTTTAATGACCATTTAAAGTTACAATGGACCCTGCAAAGTTACTTTCAACCTTGACGTTACAACTGCTGCATATACACACATAGAAAAAGGCATAGACACATACACTTACACATATATAGCCCTACACCTGGGGTCCCATGATAACTGTGTCCCATGGTGACATCTGTGATTTTGTGCTTTCCAGCAAAAAAAAAAAAAAAACATTATTCACTGAATGAGCATGTGATTCAGTTAACAACCATGCTGATTTACTCCACAGCCATTGTAACAATGATCATAAGCTCATTTAATGAGTACCACATGTTATGATGGTCATTCTGAGTTCAGTGGTGATAGCTCAATGGGAACAGCCTGCAATGTCATCCTGGGCAGAACTGAAAAGTATATTGTTTTGTAACAGTAATAATGATATAATGATGATGATGATGATGATGATGATGATAATAATAATAATAATAATAATAATAATAATAATAATAATAATAATAGTCAATTGCAAAAGGCGGCCTTATTAGGAACTGCTTCCATCCTGCGACAATATCTGTAATACCATCAAACATCCACATCTGCCTATCCCAGGTCCTGGGTAAGGACTCGATAGGTAGACAAAATGCCAAATCCAGTCTGAACATCTGGCTGACTGTGCGATGATCGATAATAATAATAAAGTTGTAAGGGACCTTGGAGGCCATTTAGTCCAACCCCATGCTCAGGCAGGAAACCCTATACCATTTCGGACAAATGGCTGTCCTGTCTCTTCTTAAAAACTTCCAGTGTTGGAGCATTCACCACTTCTGGAGGCAATTTGTTCCACTGGTTAATTGTTCTGTCAGGAAGTTTCTCCGTAGTTCTAGGTTGCTTCTCTCCTTGATTAGTTTCCATCCGTTGCTTCTTGTCCTGCCTTCAGGTGCTTTGGAAAATAGCTTGACTCCCTCTTCTG